GGGGGGCGGGGGGGGGGCGATCACTCCCATCCTTCTGCGGTAGGGGCAAATTGATTGTTCTATCTCACCGTGAGAGGTTGTTGTAGTAGGTCGCCACGTCCGAGTGGTTGGTGCCCAGCATGCGTTCGCCGATGGCCAGCGCCGATCGCTGCAAGGGCTCGGCTTCCGCCAGCTTGTCCTGAAACACACAAATGCAAGCGGAGGGGGGGCGTGGTCTAGATGATGTTGCTGCTGTGACTACTGCGATGTGCAGTCGTGGGAACAACTAGGGGTCGAGCTATTTAATCGCACCCCAGTGGACAAAAGTTCCGGTTTTGATGCAGAAAACAGGAGTTTTGTACGCTGCTGCTGTCCGGTACGTCTGGTTTGCTCTCTTGCTTTCTTCGGAACAAAAAGTACAAGCAAGCTGTTTGCTTCTCTGATAAGCTCCGTCCCACTTTCCTTTCTTCTTTTCTGTCGCTGCCTCTCTCTCTCTCTCTCTCTCTCTCTCTCTCTCTCTCTCTCTCTCTCTCTCTCTCTCTCTCTCTCTCTCTCTCTCTCTCTCTCTCTCTCTCTCGAAGCTTGTTAGAAAAAAATCTCTTCGCAACCAAGGCACCGACCGCTATAGGGACGATCCACTACCACCACAAAAAAACACAAACACACCCACATAAATTGGCAGGCAGCTACACAGCAAACCCTAGTGGAACGACAAAAACGGGTGTCAAAGGAGGAGACACATAAAAAATGTAAAACGCAACAAGAACACGTGCATAGACCCCTATTTGGAACGACCAGAACAACAAAACAAGAAAAGGTGTGAAAGGTCAAGACTACAAAGAAGACACGCTGTACGAAGAGAAGAGAATATATCGCAAGGCTGGGATACGTGACCGCCTACGCAGGATTTTAAGAGTATCTAGAAAAAGAATAGGGAGGGAGCACGCAGACCCTATCCCAAACCCAACCCTAACCCCAAAATACTTCATGCATATGTTTGCTTAATCAAGTTTGCTGCGTAGACTACTGGGTTAGGTTTGCGCACCTGTGCCTTGAGCACCCTAGCAAGGTTGTTGAGGTACGTGGCCACGTCGGCGTGCTCCGGGCCGTACACCTTGCCGGCGATGTCCAGG